ACTGATCTCTGTCATCTGGAGATCAATTGTAGCAGTGGGAGATCTCCAGGTCCCACCTGGAGATTGGCAACCCTAGGGGAAAGTCAGCTGCACAGCAGGGGGTTGAAGAGAATGGTTTGATGGCTGCTGGGCCAAGATTGGCAACAATAGATCCCCAGGAGCCCCATCGTAAATGCACCAAACAATTCCTCAAGATTTTCCAAAACACTACTCTGTTTTGGGCTCCTGGGGAACTTTGAAGTAGCACCAAAGCTTTAAGATCTCTCCAGCTGTCACCTGGAGACTGGCAACAGCTTGTCTGGAGTGTGGGCAGCATGGCATTGTATCTGTCTGAGGTCCCCCTCTTCCTCCTCCTCCTCAGATCCCACCCTCAGCAGGCTTCATCCCTAAAATATCCTGGAAGTTTCCAACCTGGAGTTGGCAACCCTATGTCCTGGAGTTCGAACCTGGAGTTGGCAACCATCAGCCAACGTTTATCTGCCTGTCTGTCTTTACAACCCCCCCCACACACACACACACAGCCTCTGCCTAGGGAGCAGCTGACATCATTCTCCTCTCCCAACTGAAAATTCCAACTGCCTTGGGGGGGTGAGTTTGAGGTGTGGAATGGAGTGTAGTCCAATCAGCTTCCATATGTAAATGACCTTGGAACGCTGGCCGGGACTGCACAAAGCAGCCAATGAACCCAGCCAGTGTCTTCCGAGTGGCAGTTTTTTCGGCCTAACACTAAAGGGGCCAATTTTAGAATTCTGGCACCCACTACTCTTTTATAATAAGGGAGAGATTGTATCTGATGGAGTTTTGACTCTCAAAAGCTCACACCCTGGTGTCTTAAGGTGTTCTGGGCCCAAATCTAACTCTTGTATTATCTTGTTTCTGATCATTAATGTTGCTCACCCAAATACATGGAATTCATTGCCACAGGAAGTGGTGGCGGCTACAAGCACAGACAGGTTCAAGAAGGGACTGGATTGACATCTGGAGCAGAGGCCCACCATTGGCTATTAGCCACAAGGTACAGATGGAACACTCTGTCTGGGGCAGTGACCCTGGAGGTCCCTTCCCCCTCTAAGATTCTACAATTCTTGGTGCTTGGGGGCGGGGGGGCAACTGCAGGAGGGCTTCCAAAGTTCTGGCCCCGCTGGCGGTCCTCCTGATGTCACCTGGGTTTTGGCCCTTGTGTGACACAAGAGTGTTGGACTGGATGAGCTGAGCCACTGGCCTGATCCGACACGGCTTCTCTTATGTTCTTATGTCTCCTTATCCTAGGATAAGTTCATTCAAGAGCCTCTGAAGAGGAACTCTGTTAACGGGGTTTTTCCAACCAATATCACAAATACCATGTCTACTCAATCTTGGGCCAAAGTTTTTTTTTTCCCTTTCAAGTTAACCTTTGTAATCTAAGATGCCCCTCCCAAACACACTGCCTTTTCTGAAGCGTCTTGTAAATGCTCAATATGCTGCCCTCAACACCCGGAAGGCAAGGGAAGGCAGAGTGACATGGAACACACAAACGCCAGTTACTGCGCCCTCATGAGTAGGGGACCTTCATACCTGGCGGACTGCCTCTTCCGACAGGCTCCCTCCCAAGATTTGTGTTCTTCAACCCACAACGTGCTTGTGGCCCCTGGGATGTTCGCCTGGCATCCACCAGGACAAGGGCCTTCTTTGTGGTGGCCCCGTCCTGGTGGAAACAGCTGCCAGACAGTACGTGGGCCCTGTGGGGCTTATCTAAGCTTCGCAGGGCCTGCAAAGCAGAGCTCTTCCGTTTAGCTTTTCATTAGTTGGTTCTGTTTATGTGGGCTGCCTTTTAGTTTAATTTGTACTATGTTTTTAATCGATGTCCGTTAATGTTTTACCTGTTAGCCACCTCGAGACCACTTGGCAGCAAGAAGTGGCATATAAATTTAACAACAACAACAAATAAATAAATCAACAACAACAGTAACAGGTTTCTGGCAACTGGATGCAAGTATCTTGCAGCACCACTTTACCAACCAGCAAAAACACTACCAATACGCAGCAAAACAACGAAATGCATTAATTAAAACAACCTGACTACAGCAGAAGCCAGAGTACAAAAGGATCTGGGTCCACACCCCGGTGACTCAATGTTATCCCCCCTCTCTGCAGAATTCATCCACTTCAGCACCCACCTGCAGATGGCCTTGCTCAACCGTGACACATGAACACACACATGAAGCTGCCTTGTACTGAATCAGACTCTCAGTCCATCGAGGTCAGTTTTTGTCTGCTCAGGCTGGCAGCCGTTGCCCGAGGTCTCAGGTGGAGGTCTTTCCCATCACCTCCTGCCTGGTCCTTTGAACTGGAGATGCCGAGGATGGAACTGGGGACTTTCTGCATGCCAAGCAGAGGCTCTGCCACTGAGCCCCAGCCCCTCCTTTGTTCACCACACTTCATCTCTGCCGCTAAGGCCAAACAGCAAGGGCCACACACCACCGGGAAGCTCTGCGCAGAATGTGACTGGAATTTCCAGTCTGCTTTACCTGAACTGCCGCAGGATTTATCTGCTGGGACAGGAAACCATCAAGGCATGACACTGCTGCTAGAAACCGTCAGAGAGGCTGCATGCTTTTGGTACGGTACCCCTTTCTGGGAGCAAGGTGGCGTGTGATGTTCCTCTTGCTGCTGCTGCTGCTTTCAGGGGAAGACCAGCCACATGCTCAACACTCACCCAAGGAGCGCAACTGACCTGCCTTGGCCTGCTGCTAAGAGCTGGGCACTCTCTCGAAGTGGCGACTTGGCTCTGAGGCGCGACTGTGCCTCTGTGTGTGAGAGATTCCTGCCAGCTTCCCCACCTTTCCGCAGACCTTCTGCAGGCCCCTCCCCCCCCCCCCCCCCTGCTCACCCCACAGTCCGTCCACCACCACCACCCAGCGGGATTTTGAGGAGCCCAGCAGGCAGAGAAAACAGCACGGGAGCTCCACTCTGGGAGCTGGGTTCACAGGGTCCGACCTGGCAATCAGAATATTTCTTCCCCAACCTGGGGAAGACTATTTCCATCCTCCGTGGGTGTGTGCAAGTGGAACTCAGCTGGAGCCCAAAAAGGAGGAAGGAAGGCACAGGGTTGCATCTGACTGGCCTCAGGCAGGCGAAGGGCACGGCTTTCTGGCATGCTTCTGTCCCTTCATAAGCTGGATGTGCTTTGTGCTGCCACAGGCTGCTGTTGTGGGGTGTGTGTGTCAAAGGCACTCCAGTCCCCTACACACACCCCCCACACACACATACACAACCCGCCTCAGAGCACTCAGAGACGACAACCATGCATCCTGTTATGAGCTTCAGCGTCCAGATCTCCTGCTAAGGATAAGCAGGTAAGTCCTTCCTTCTGCCGAGTGTTTGAAATTGTTCCCTAACCACCTTTCATGTAGAACAGGATTTGGTTGTCAATCAAACAAAAATAAGGCAGGAGAGAGGAACACGGTACCACAGTGCCCACCGTAGTAAGCCATGCACTTCAGGTATGGACGCCCCTCCAGGCCAGTTAACATCTTTCACAAAGGTCTTTGTTCTGTTCCCTTGAGCCAGTTCTGCAGGACTGG